GCATGCAAATTTCACTTGAACTGAGTGTGAACATGAAGTACTAGGCTTCGCAGATATATGAAAAACGACACAACATATGAATGAAACTACAATCAGGACCAAGTCCGCCACAGGACCAAGTGTCATTCTACTTCATTTCATTTTGTAAACAAACTATCGATCTAGCGCACTGCAATAACTGATTCGGTAGTGTTAGCAGCTTTTTAGTTCCGTACTTACAAATGGCAACTTTCGGTCCTCTTTATGGCTATTTAAGCGGCACCACTTTTTACCTGGAAATTGTTCATTGCTTTTCAGTTGTACCTGCCTTATTTGTTGGCTTAGAAGCTCCCTATTTCTTCGCAGGGAGAGCCGCGGCTTCTCAACATCTAGATATGAATGTAAGGGTTAACGTTGGGATCTATGTGCCATGACGGATAGGGTCGGTGACTCCTGTTGGCACGTGTTTATTGGTGATTAATAGACAAAAAGTATCGTTCATTCAGTCATCACGCACATAATATAAAAAACTGTAATGCTTGGTGTTAATGGCATCACCGTGCTTAACACGCATACAGATGCAATGCATTGCTTTATAAATCTCCCTTTGCCCGTAGCTACACCTGAACCATAGGCTAGTTAAGGCACGACGCATAAAATTCGCGGTCCAGTTCCATTCGTGGCATATCAGGAGATCCCGTGATGACGTGTTTTGCGACCCGTCTATCCCGGAACTGATAATTAGTACCGAGACTATCATGCCTGGTCTGTAGTAAGGGGGATGGGCTCTCATGTCGAAAGACAGTGTAATTATCGTCACGAACAGCGAAAGCCGCCGTCACAGCAATAAAGGCTCACGTAACGTTAGGATCTGGGATGCATGATAACGATGGTAGGGACACAGGACCCCTTCACGTCTGAGAGACGGCGGTTTTTGTAGCGCACGTGTCATAACTGGCAGGGAGACTTGATCAGCCAAGAGGCCCCTGCCACGGCTAAAAGACGGCCAGGGAACAGAAGACTTCTACGTGATCGAGAGTTCTGGTGCAGCGCGAGACCATTGTCCTGACCTAAAGAAGGTCCTCTAATGCAAATATCTTGGATGAGGAAGTCAGAATACAATGGGAGGCCGAGGCTGAGAGTGGAGAGCAGGGAGCACGACTGGGGGCAGGCTACTTAATATACAATGACCTTGAAGTTACGCTTGAATGCCACTGTGACTTGCTGGAGGAAGGAGGCTGCCATGAATGAATGGCCCACTTTGTCAGGATGTTGGAGGATCAGGCAGTGGTCACGAGCAGCACAAAATAAGCACGCTTGACAGCATACATGCTTAAATACGCACATACGAGAATGAACAGCAGCGTGATTGCGACACACCTGCCCAGCAGTCATCTTTTGACAATCGCGCTGGAAACATTTGATCGTTAAACGTTTCACTGACCTTGTTCTAATTACTGCGCTCCACTGGGAAATCACTGCCTCCTGTCTGACTCGGTTCTTATTATCGATAGTCGCAATCGGTTGGCATGTCTCGTTCATTGTCCATGGTCTGTCTCGCACACTCCAATGTACTCGGTGCACTGTTAAGCCGGCCTGAGTCTGAAATGCGCTGCACACAGCATGTTCTGTGGCACACGCCTAGACTATGTGAATTGTGCGCTTCAAGTCGCGCATCACAGCTATGTGGCTGTCTTTTCGTCACTCACTGGTAATACCAGCACAACATGTGATACGTTCAAGTTCAGTTGCGCCGCAGGTGTCATATAGAATTGAGCAGTACATGCCTCAGGGCAGACTGGACAGGGACGCCACGATCGGTCTGATGGTGAGTGGCGGGAGAGCATGCCTCGTGTGGTTGAGCGCCAGAAACGCCCCGCTTCTCTTCAACGCCACGCAAATGACGTGGTTATGCAAGAAGGGCATGCGTTTATCAGTGGCGACGCCGAGTTTTTTACGACTCTGATTTGGCGATGCTAGTGCCGACGAGTTTGGTGTTAACTGGCGACATGCCTCTCAACAAAGCATGTGTACCTAGCACAAGGACATGGAGCGGCGAATGGGTGTAAAGTAGGCAGATATTTAGGCAACGGATATGGAATCATCCTTCACCGCTACGCACCCTCGAACAAACTGGCTGCTCTCAAAAAGGCTATGGATCTACCTGTAACAACTGAGCACACTGTCCCAGAGGGCGCCGGCCGGTTACCTATCCTCTTGTGCACGGGAGCGGAATTCGAATCTGCACAGCTGGGCTATCTGGCCAAAGGTGTACCACCTCGGTCGAGTTCCGGACCGCCCCGTTGTAAACTAAGCTCCCTACAAGCGTGCATTATGAACAGAAGTTTGCTTGTCCTGCGCCCGTTGAGACTCTGTAATCTGCATCCCTGCCAGCCATGCGGTGGTCACGCAGGCCTTTTCCCCACGACAGCTGCTTCCCTGCCGCATGCGATCGCTGTCCAGTGTAGATGGAGATTCACGTGGACGGTCGAGCAGTGCCAGCCCTCTGTATGAAGGAAAAGAGAGATGCTGCTCTCGCGCTGAACTCATTATTAACATTCACAGAATACGACGCGCTCATTGTCGAAATCAAACACTCAGTAAATGTCGCCTCATTTTTTGCAATTGCTGTGCGACATGTTACTCGGTAAAGCATACAGGTTTTTATGGCTTCGGACTATATTTGCAAGCGCATGAGTAAATGCTATGAAATGGCATGACGCTCGCACCGCCTCTGCGTCAATATACGGCTGTGGTAAAACGCGCCCAGGCGAGTGGGGACTAGGACTACGAACTTTAATGGATGCTGGCCTCTTTAGCCCGTACCGTAAGAGGCTACGGTACGGAGTGCCCCAAGTGGCGGCCGCCCGTGTGTCACTTTTCCACTGCACGCATGCGCGGTTCCGCCAGCTCTCGACACCTGTGGCTGGCGATGCCGGCCGGCTGCACCTCGCGCCGATCGATGCACTGTATAACTCCGCGCCGAGGCCGTTAAGTACCCTACAGAGAATCCACGCCCAGAAGTTCTTTTGAGTCCTCGAACCACGAAATTGACCCGGTGGATCTCGAGATCACAGAATAATTGGATTGACGCTAGCGTAGACCCAAAGCGAGGTTCACCGGATGGAAATACGCGGGCGATTTAACAACATATAGACAGTGCGTATGAAAAACAGAGGACGTGCCTGATTAAAATTTGGCCGTCATCCCCTCGAAGTTTATGCCCCTTCCGCAGCGATGTCCCACTCCCACTGCTCGTGCCACGCTTGGAACACTCACTGGTAGCCACGCCCGTTAAGCATGACAACACCATCTGCGGCTGGCGCTGGATCTCCTCTGCGGAGCCCGAACGACGACCTTTCAACTTGAGCTTTTGGGAGCAGGAAGGACTCGCAGGAAGCGAACGTTGATTTGAGCGGGAAGGAGCGCTGGCGGTGTCGTGGCGACCCCTAAACTCGCGCGCTTTTACAGCTCTTCGAGCGGGTGCGATGTCGTGTTGAAGCACCCAATTACCACCCCGGCACAGTTAAGGCCATTGATTCCGACGATCACAACTTGCAGAGGCCTCAGAACGGTGCAGTCTGACTCGACATTGATTGCCTGGATTTGGGGATGCATTCAGGATGCACAGTACTGCCACCGCGCCATGCCAAATGCAAAAAAAAAAATCCGCGAACGTGCTTCTGACCACGCTGCCGACCTACCTGCCCGAGAAAGAGCATTCTGTACCAGGGGGTCCAATATAGCAGCGCGACCGGTCACAGTGAGGTAGAAACATGCGAATTTGCGTTGCCGAATTTGCGAAAAGTGGCGCTACCTTACCCGCCGCGCGGCACTCCGCCGCGTGCAGCGCGACGCTGGCTCTGCATAATCAACGGAATTCATGGTTTTGAGCAACGGAGGCACGTTCGTAGAGACCATGCGCGCCAACGTAGGATGCATCAAAATTTGCACACTTAGACAAGTTAATCGACGGCGCCGCATTGTGCCTCATACGTCCAGGTCCTCATACAGGCCGCTAATCGCAGGATGTCACATAGTCATCTCAAGCGAGGCGCTGTGCAAAATACTTTCCCTACATTCTATGACCGGATGTCATCCATCGGTAGATTCGTCTGGCCATAACGTGCTTTCATTTGTCAAGTTTCCCCACTGATCCGCAAAGCGTACGTGAGAACGCCGCTTTCAGCCTTGGGCCCGCAGAAGAAATTCTCCCCCCCAAAAAAAACAAAACTGGGAGTTTCAGTGCTATCTTCGGATGTTCTAAAGGCCGTTCTTTCGGCACGCCGCTACAGAATAGCGATAAAGTGAGAAATTGTCGGTACCAAGATCCAAAAAGTACTCGTTATTTGCAAAACGACGCCCGCCTCTCTGTTTGCACGGCGGCACAGACACTATGTTCCCCTTAATCTGCTCTCGGTATGATGTGTATACAAATGCGGTTGAGTTGCGAGCAAAAAAGCTCGGCGTTCCATGCCTTCAATGCATTCAGTTCAGTTCACCTCATTCTAAGGCCGTCGGGTCTTATACCAGAATAGGCTACTTCTACCGCCTTTTATACCAACTCCAAACACCAGTTATCGCCGAAATGTTACATATTTATCCTGAAGTTGTCATTAAAGAAAATATTATAAGGTTTTGAAACGAAATGCATCAACACAAGCGTCTCAGATCGAAAATTTGCAGCATCAAAACAGCGGAACACGAGTGTTACATACTACTACGCGTTGGCAAGACCTAGTCGGCAAAAGGAGTCAGCTGCATGTCTGTGTTGGTAAAAGCAACTAGAGAGGTAATAAACTCTAAGTTTTATTTTTGTAGGATTTAAATTATTTTTGCAATCTTCTTGTAGTCACTTTATTGCCAATGTGCTGTATGAATATTTAACTATAAACACAAATACTCTGTCTCTGGCTTATAGTTCTTTCGACTACTTGCATAGGTGGCAGCACTTTTAGGTTGATTTGCGTCAGCCGCGGTGTTCGCTGCGCCCGATATCCGCCATTTTGTTGTGTCGAAAATCGTGAGGTCGTGGGGGAGCCCGAAGAACATTGTGCGTGGATTTTGTGTATATCCGACAGAGCAAGGACTGAAAATGTGCTTGTGAACGCTGCTAGGGTATAGCGGTGGGTTTGATGCCCACTGTGGCACTCTCCGACGAATGTGGTGGCTGTAACCAGCTATGAGCATCCACGGCTGTTGAGAACTCGCTCACGATGAGTAAGCTCTCGTTCCGGGCAAGGGCGCTTGACGCCTCGAAGCCGATGCCCATATACCTCTCCGAGGAACTCCCCGACCTCCCTGAGTACCTGTCCATCAACCGGGCGGTACCTCAGATGCCGTCTGGCATGGAGAAGGAGGAGGAATCGGTAAATATTGAACAACCGAATTTCGTCTGTCGGCCATGTTGTTTATGGCCGACGAGGATGCATGTCCTTATGGCGCAGTTGCAGGCTGGAATGGTTCATGGTGATCGGCGCTCAATAGTTTCAGTTTTGTCATGTATGCCAATGTATCCGTTCGGAATATATGTTTTGTCGTGTTTCGGCGCTGTGTTGCATGGAATGCACTTGCTGCGGAGGAGCACGTGCTTGCGGGTCAGGAAGCGGCCATATTGGATTGGGGCCGTTGTCCGGTCGGCGATTCGCCGGTTGGGAGGGTGGGAGTGGGGTGTGGCGTCTGACGTAGTTTTGTTGGTGGTGGGCACTTTAATGAAATGGATGTTGCAGGAACCTTGGTACATTGTGCACAGCTCAGTAAAATTGATGCTGCAGGAACATTTATTGTGTATGGCTATTCATGACTAATTGGTATGAAGGGTTGCGATGTTAGGTGAATGGACATGAGATAGTTGGTTGATAGCATTCTCCATTTCCCATTACTATAATGCATGACAGAACAAGCTGGTTCTCATTGGCAGTAAACTGGGCTGGTTGGTAGCAATACACTTGGTGCAGCATAAGCTTCAAGAGCTGCATGATGGACACAGTTTTCTGTAGATATTGCAACCTTGGGTTCAGGTGGACCTGCTGCTGCTTTCTCACTAACAACTCTCAAATTATGGAAGAAGGAGAACTTGTTCCAAATCACTATATACACATTTGAAATACTTATCTACATCACTTGGTATCAGAAATGAACCCTTAGGAGCTGGTTATATCTAGAGGTTCCCAGCTAGTTGGGTTACATATCAGCATGAACACATGTACTTATGTGGTTTCAGTTCTCAATATGTGTATATACCTAATGAATTGTGGATGTATATATATATATATATATATATATATATATATATATATATAATCATCACCAGATATCATCATTGTCACCAGATTGTCATCTTGCATTGAAATAGACATAAACCACATAGCTTTCCTGTTTACACTACTTAGCAATCTGTGGAATGAATGAGTGCATCTTTTTCTGCATGTACATTTAAGGTCTATCTCCTAAGGCTACCAGCTGATAGAATGTATATATGAATATCTATCTATCTATCTATCTATCAGTTGGTAGCCTTAGGAGATAGACCTTAAATGGACATGCTGAAAAAGATGCACTTATTCATTCCACAGATTGCTAAGTAGTGCAAACAGGAAATATATGTGGTTTCAGTGTGTCAGTGTTTCAATGTGTTCAGTGTGAAATATGTCCATTTGAATGCAAGATGATAATCTGGCAACTTAAATATATGAGTATCTTGAAAAGTGTATATCTTGTTGTCAATTCCAACTAGTAGCATGAATATGGTGTAAGTACTTGTCAAGAGACATAACTAAATATCAGCTGCTGAATTTGGAATCTGCTTGCATAGGTCAGCCAATGTTAGCATTATGATGTGGGAAAGTTTGTTTACCCATGCTGAATCATGGAGCCAGAACTTTAGGGTTATATGTTATTGTCAGATGAGCTTAAATGCTACATTTAATATAAGCACCATGTCTGCATAACCATGTACAGGTTGTAAAGGTTGTGAGTCTCAGGTATAGGTGAGCTAAACTTGACTATTGCATGACCATGCTATTGGTCTTACTTCTCAGTTGGAAAGAAGGAGCTATGCTGGAAAAGCTGGACTCATTCATTGCCATGTGATGCTTATCAGCAAATATAGACCATATATCCCAGACGCAAAATGCTGTGTTATGGAAAAAAATTTGAGTAGTCAGTCACACTTCAGAACATTTATGCTGCCTGCTTCAAACAAAATTTGAAGGGTTGTGTCCACAAAAGCCTTGCTCTGTTAAAGAAGGCAGAATATCCATACAAAAACTCTGATAAAGAAGGCAGAACATTTGATTAAAACAGTTAATAATGCAACAAATGGTTAGCATTATCAAATATCTAGTGCTAATGTAATACTTGTTTAAAGAGTGCATAATTATGTTCTCAGCATGATATTGACAGCATGTAAGCAGCCTGATTATTTAAATTGTTCAAAGGCTGCAACTTTATTGGTGAGAGGTGGCAATTGCAAACCTACAAATCCATGTAGTGCCTCCAGTGACAGTTGGTTGCCTTGATAATAATGTCTGAAGGCGTACCTTTTCAGTTGTCTGATTCATTTAGGTAAGCATGAGATGTGAGAAGTTTGGGTGTGCTGCTTTTGGTTGTGGAGTGGGGGTGGGGGGAGGGGGTATTAGGGGAGGTTGCCTACATGGAAGGTCTGGGACTCATACAATGAATATAAGTTGAATTCTTACATTTTTGTTCACACTATACATATGTTCCCATCCTCTGTGGCAATGCTCTTCTTTCATCAAAATTGAGCCTAAAGCTGACTGTTTGGGACATTTGGGTGAGTGATGCAGCTGGTTGAAAACAAACCCTGGACTGGTTTGGGGTCTGGATGGGAGGACATATAATATCTTCATGTAGGGCCATGCTGTTTCTTCATGGCCTGTATCTGGTGGCTGTGTACATGTAATCTAATGTTGCTGGATAAAACTACCCTGGAACTGGATCTAAAGGGAGACCTCTTATGTTTGTGATATTGGAAGTAGAGAATGGGTGAGGGGAAAGGGGAGTAGAAAAATTATAGGGTTCTCATTGACCCCCATCTGCAGTTGCAGGTAGATCTTGGGGGGGGGGGGGGAGGCTGTTATGAGCTGTACTGGCCTTACTTTTTGTAGGAACTTTGCAAATGTTGGTAGCTGCAGGTGTTTCGTCACACAGTGTTTTGCCCTGCCCATTAATGTTTGGATGTGCTTAGATTGATGTACTTGTGATAACCTAACCAAAATTTTGTACTACTGTGGTTGTGTGATGAATAGGAATATCTGTTTTATGCTTGTCTTCATTCAGGAGGCATCTACTTTTGCCATGAACAGTGTATATTAGTCAACTGCCATGGTGCACTGTGAATGGTGCTGTGATTGCTTTCCACACATTCAATTTACAGTCAATCATTTCTCAGAAGGATTGTCAACTGGACCCTCCCTGCTGGACTTGAAGGGTATAGTTGACTAGTGCTTAACATTGTCTAGTGTTAGTTGCCATTAAAATGTGTTCTTTCATTGTGTATTCATTTTCACTGTGTAAAATGTGTATTTTCAGGAACGACATCTCCAAGAGGCAATCAGCGCCGGAAAAGTCATTCCAACACCGGAGGTCTATCCACTAGAACAGCTGGGCGATGGTGATCGGCTTGACAGACTCTACCCTGGAAATAATAAAGTACCAAAACAGTATATCCATTACCAATGTAAGTACCAGTTACATGTCTTATTTAGCATGTGAAGAGTGAGGTCATAATGGGTTTTGCCCAGATGTGAGTGATGCCAAGGCATATTGTAGCTGGGAATGCATTTAAGAGTTCATAACAATTTTCTTCATTGATGCATCACATGCTTTAACATTGGTGTGAAAGTTGGTGGACACTGGACAACATTAAGCTTTGCTTAAAGAGGACAGCCCATCCTCTTGGACAGCTTGGCTCACATATTCAATACAATCATTGAATTGGGTATTGTGTAGTGTCAATTGCTAGGACCAAAAATATGTCAACCTGGTGGGTTGTGAATACAAAGAAGCTACAATTTTGGGCTGCATCAAGTTTTGTTGCACCTGCTTGTTTTTAAGATCCCAGACACTCAAAAGCCACAATGGTTTGCTTAAGCTACTTGCACTCCCAGTTTCTGTTTTCTGCTTTGCAATTGAATGCTGCTGACATCAGGAGGAATGGGGTATTGATGAGCAGGCCATGCCATTTTTAAATGACATTCATCTATACTGTACAGTTGTCAGTTCAAATTTAGGCAGACTTAGCATGTGGTCTCACCTAGAATAATAGGTCCAATTTGAGTGCATATTTGTCTTTTGTAGCTCTTCATAGGTTGTAATCCTTTTAGGTGGTGATTGAAGACTGGCTGTGATTTGGTTGTGAAATATTAGCAGCTGCAGGTTGGACTGATTTTCAGTGCTTAGTGTTTTTATGGAGCAGAAAAGCATTGGTGATATCACTGGTGTTCAACTGAATCTTTAAATATCTGTGTAATTAATTGTGGGTAGTTAAATATGGTATGCTTTCACCAGCAGGTGATAGTGTAATGAAGGATGATATGATTGGCTTATTTTAGGTCAAGCTGGAGAGTTAAGTGCTGTGGTGAAGTGCAACTCTGTGCGGCCAGGAACAAGTGGTGTAACATTGATTATGTTCCCAGAATTCGATGACACTTTTGCTGCTGTCCATTGATCTGACACATGGTCCATGGCTGCAATATTTGGGCCTCATTATGTGTTCCAGTAATGAAAAGTCTACATGTGGCCATTTGGGCCCATTGGATATGAATTTAGTATAGAAGTGCACACCAATTTTGTAAACACTGCCATTGAAGTGACAATGAGGTGTCTGCATTGGGTGTTCATTCTTTGATGTTTGTCTGGATTTATTAAATAATATGCCACATCCACATCTGAAATAAGCAAAATTTGGGAGTTAAGAGCTAACCAAACAGTGTGGTCTGAACAGAAATGCTGTGTTTAAGCATTTATCAGCTTTTGATATATTTACAGTTAGCACTATGCACATTTTGTTCCTGTGGGGGATAAAAGCTGCTTTCTCAGACTGGAGAGGACAGAGGCAGAAAGAATGGTTGCTTTTCATGGTGTATAGTGTGGGACCTTGGTGACCCATTTGAGCACAAGGTGTTGTGGGAGGACTGTTAGTGTTGATGCTCTTTTTTTATTTAGTGCTATTCAAGTGCACATGCCAATGACAGAAGCTGTAGGTGCATTCTTCAGTCCCAATTGGTGTGGCTCTCAATGATTTATATATATATATATATATATATATATATATATATATATATATATATATATATAGATAACATAGAAGATCTAGATAATATGAATAGCTAATTTAGTTTTGTGTATTCTGTTGTTGTTATGTGCCTGCTTGTGTTTGTTTCTGGTCTTCCAATGTTTATTTTTCTGCTATCAGCTGTCATGCTTAGTTTGCACAGAAAAAGGTATCTGCTTTTTCTCTGTCATGTTCCAGCTAACCTGTGGCTTCTCTGTAGGTTAGTCGGTTCATATTCTCAGGTTTGTTCTTGGGCTTGGTACTCAAGCTGCAATAATGTATTGCCTTGGGTTATATCATCTGTGTGACAGCAACTGCTATCAGGTATTGCTTGTGTTACAGTCACCAAAAAATAATAATGGTGTGTTTGTTCCAGCTTATGCATTCGATAATGATGTACCCGAGTACGATCTGGATTCTGAGGATGAGAAATGGATAAATGCACAAGTGAAGAAAATGGACGTCCCATTGACATACGATCAGGTGCGTTCGTCGCTATCAATTGATGCGTATAAACCGTCGCGTTCCGGATCCACATGAAGCTGCCATAGCTACCAGTTACCGAGAAGGTCTCTGCTAATTGGATGAGGTAAAGGGAGTGGCTGACTCGGTATGTGGGTACCGCCATTGGCGAGGATGTGCCACAGCAGCTCGACGACGCGTGCTGCATATGTAGGCACTTATCACCGAGACTGGTGTGCGTGACCTAGGGCCTGTGTCAGCCACCTACATCAAAGTGTCCTTGTGCCATCCAGTTTGAAGAAATGATGGACCGGCTGGAGAAAGGCTCCGGCCAGCAGGTGATCACCCTGAAGGAGGCCAAGCTGCTTCTAAAGGAAGATGACGATCTCATTGTGGCCGTCTATGACTATTGGCTCAACAAGAGGCTGAGACTGGTAAGCACGGGTACCGCCGGTGGGGTATTGATTGCCGTTGCGGCCTGTTGCTGGTAATTGTGGCCGCTCGCCCATGCTGTCGGTCCGCTCGGTCGCGTGCTTGGTGAGAGCGCTGGTGTGTGGACGCCCGGGGCGCGCTGCGTCCCTGGAGCGGCGGGTGCCCACGCGTGCGCCGTCGCCGGCAGCAATACCCGCTGATCCCGGCCGTGAAGACGGAGAAGACCGCCGGCCTGGCGCATACCAACAACCCCTACATTGCGTTCCGGCGCCGACTGGAGAAGATGCAGACCAGGAAGAACCGGAAGAACGACGAGGCGTCGTACGAGAAGATGCTGAAGCTACGACGAGACCTAAGTCGAGCCGTCACCATCTTGGAGATGGTGAAACGCAGAGAGAAGATGAAGAAGGAGCACCTGCACCTCACAGTTGAAATATTCGAGAAAAGGTGGGTCATAAACGCTTCACACATGTTGTTTGCAAATGATTCGGAACATGAACAATGCATAGCCCCGGAATTGATAAATTGGAAAGGTATTTGCTCGGAAGGAATGATCGTTACCCTGTTTTATCGATATTTGGCGCAGTTCCAACGCCCTTTTCTCGGCGTCTAGCAATCCTGGAAGTTCCCTGGTGTCTGGCAAGTGGACGCGGCAGGTGAGGTGTTTCTGGTGCTGCATGTCGCCCCTGATGACCGCCTGCCGGAGTGCGAGTCCTCGTCTGTCCGTGGTGATGCCGTTGCGGTCCACAGGGTCGGTCACGGTCCGGTGCCTCGCCGCCAGGTACTCGATCGGCGACTACAGCGGCCAGGTGCTGACGGACGTCAGCTCCGGCGGCCACAAGGCGGCCGCCCCAGTCAGCGCCAGCGCCAGCACCAGCAGCGCGCCGCCCGTCACCTCCCGGCCGGCCTACTCACCGCTCTACCTCAACCAGCACCAATGGGCCACAAAGGTCAAAATCAGAACGACGCAGGTGAGTCGCAGGCATGTGCGTGAAAGGACGCATCAGCAGAGCTGCGTTACCGCGCCGCGCCGTGCCATCCTCGTGGGCGTAGACGTTACATTTGGAGGGAAGTGGTATTTGAAGACGTGGCAGACGATTTGCATGCACGCTGCTGCCTGGCTTGGAGCAAAAAATACTTGGAGGTGATGGTACTGATAACAATCCAGGTGTTTACTTCACTTGATGTAATTTAGGGTTTCCCTAAAATGATCTGGTGGCTCATTGTTCCTGCTGGTTGGAGATGTTCCTCAACTGAAATTATAAACATTACGGGAGACATTATCAGGCCTAGGTCCCCTCATTTAAACATTAACACAAACTTTGCCAGCTGGGGTTAACAGCATGGTCACATCGTCGTTTACATCCATTGAACGCTCAGTAACACATTGCCACCACACAGGCAAGAGTGAGAACTTCGCTTAATTGCACTCACGGCCACCGACCACCATGTGCGTTTTCCCGTTCAGCTCATATCCCCTCGCAAGGTACTTAAAAACATTGTTACCTTAGGTGCACAAATTGTAATGTATGAAAGAGTTTGCGGCGAATTCAGGGAAGGCTAAAGCCCATCACGGTGTTATATTGTATAAAGCATGGTTATGTTGCATTTCATGAGGTGGATTTCGTAGTACAGAATCGTGTTCGCCGTGTATGTCTCGGTCCCTTGCTTTGCTTGCCTGCGGCTCACACTTGTTGAAAAGGCTTTGGAATGTATTTTGCTTTCACTCGCGAATTGCTGGGTATACATTGAAAATGTTGACCTAGCAGCAGGTATCTGTATAATGATGGACGCACATAAACCAGGAAGCCCCGTTCGAAAATCGACTCACTGTCCCGCCCGGTTTGCCTACGCAGATAATGACACGCCCTCATGCTCTTGACGTCCTTTCAGGATGACCACTCGCAGAAGGAGAAACGTTCCTACAAGAAGCGGAAACACAGCCGGCCGCATATAATTCCGGCTGCGAGACCATCCACCAGGTGGGTGCTGCTCCCGTCTACGCGCAGCCCCTCACACAAATGCTATGGCTTTTGACCGCCGCGCGGCTTTGAACCAGTCAGCCCCGCCGGACGGTGGAGGGGGATACTGGCGTGCGACCTTGACTCTGAGTGCCCATGTGGACTGCGCGGTAGCTCTTGGTATTTGACAATGGTAATACGCCTGTCCGGATGGTGTTGCGGACGTGGCCTCCTCGGCAGCGCGTATGTGCCTGAGCACTTAATTGCCTCGTCATCGTGCAGGCTGTTATCGCCAGCGTGGCATGAAAGGTATTTGGCAAGGTGTGCGCTTGCAAACACTGAAATAAGTCGAAAAATAATCGAATCACGTTGCAAATACGGAAAACATCGGAATGACTCCGGGCGGTTGACACGGATCGGCTGACTGCAGTGACATTTAGAATACCTGTTTGCCGGTGTTCATATCAGATCACGCCGTTGCGCGTTCCTCTGTCGCCACCGTTTGTGGCGGCGTTCACTGCTCAGCAGCGTCCATGCAGACGACAGCGCGCGCGATGTGGCCACGGCTGCGGTCTGTCGTGCCGAGCCGTGGGCGGGCGTCTCGCGGTCGGCCGCCGGCCGGTGACTCATGTCCGCCGCTGCCGCGCTCCGTTATCTGGCCAAGGTCGGTGGCCGGCTCCGTCTGACGCGACCCCACGCGCAGCGCCGGCTACCCGCACGGCGGCGACGTGGTCATCGACACGGTGACCAGCGACGAGGACGAGCACTCGCCGCTGCCGCCACCTCCTCCGCCCCCGCCGCCGCTGCCGCTGCCGCTGCCGCCGCCCTTCTCCGAGGAGGAGGACGACCCGGAGCCGGACGGCGAGTTCACATTCCGCCGCAAGCGCAACTGCTCGTACCTGGCGGTGAGTGGTGCGCCGTCCGGAGCCGGCGCCGGCGGCAGCGGCCCGGTCACGGCGACGCGCCATGCGGGGCACGCTGGATAGGGTGCAGCACGGGTCACGCGCGCGGCGGATAGCGGCCATCGGCGACAGGGCCTACAGACTAGTGCCGATTTAGTGCGTACGATATCCGTCGTATTTGACGTGGCAGACCCGAGCCACATCGCGGGCTCCAGCGTCTCGTGTGGAGGTAACTAATGTAGGAGCTATTGTTTGGTCTTGGCATGACGCGTCACAACCGGTCATATGTGGTTTCTGCGCGCACGAACGTGCGGCAGTGCATGCCGTGGCAGAGCGAATCTTCAACCAAGTGAGCTGTCTTGCTGGATCGGTCTGTGCGAGCTGCCTGGCTCCAACGTCTGCCAAATGTTTTACGACAGCCAATTATCGCCGAGCCATTCACCGTAGGGCCAAAAATGAAAAATGTCAGAAATCCATCCCTCATGAATTACGCAAGCAGCAGCCTGTGGTGTGGTGGTTGGCCGGCGCCCGACGCCGGGTGGCGGACGGCTGAATTGGCGGCCGGCGGCACGCGTGATCGGCCGGTGTCGCTGACGGCGCCGTCTGCCGCAGCCGTCGCTGTCGAGTCGTCTGGAGGCCGGCCGGCCGGAGCCGGGCTCGACGACCAGCCGCCGCCACCGCTACAGCTTGGGCTCGCTGTCGCGGCCCAAGCGGCACTGTCTGGGTCTGGTGCGACACCGGGTCGGCCGCGGCGGACGGTGAGTAGGCGCCGAGCCGCCAGGTCAGGCACCGCCGGCTGGTACAGCCGCGTGTCTGATACAAATACCTGATACACTTTATGCATACGATCTCCACGTTTTCGTATGACGTCATGTCGTTGCGACGTTGTTTCGAGTCCTGACGTTGGGCCGTGGGGATGTCTACGCGGGCTCTGCTGCAGACTAGACGAGACGTTATGGTACGTTGAAGGGTGGATGGGTGCCAAATGACTGGCAGTTGATCCGCCCTCAAAGCCGTCACTACGCTGTAGTGCTGTTACTTTTGGGATATCTCAGCGGTCAGCCAAATTATTGGTGTATGCCCCGAGGCGTAGGCACGTATGGCTTCAGAGACTTCGAGAAACCCGTATTTTCCCACCTGTTCCTCCCCTCCCCTCACCCTCGTGCGTCAGACTGGCGTTATGGGCGTCATATGACCATTGTAGTCAGCGCGCCCCAAAGCTCAAATCATCACTGACGTTGGTAGGGACGCTATTGACGCCAGCTTCAGTACACGCTATCTGATTTTGCCGATGCCTTCAGCCCAGCGGGCAGTTGCAATCAGAAGCGAGGTGTGGACGTCGAAATCTGGTGAACTTCGGTGATGTGTAATCACCGTCGGTGATGGTGGCCGTGCTATATAGTCGTCTGTCGGCATTTGTCAGCGTGACTCGGCATGAGCCCACGGGAGCCTGCGGTTGGGTGTGGCGCGCGACACGTGATGCGTGCTGCTGTGCAGTGAACTGCCGGCTGACGGCCGTCGCCTCCGTTACAGCGTCATAATCGACCGTGCGTTCAACGACGGCGACGACTACTGGCGATCGTTAGACTTCACTGTGCTGACCGGGCCCGGCCGGACGCCCAGCGACGTGTGAGTAACCCGGTGAACGGGCCGCGCGCGCGGCCGCCGACGGGACCCACAGCTATCAGGACACAGGACGCAGGACGGTGGCAGGCGATGATTAACGTGCTTTGGGCGGTCACTGATTGGTTTCCGGCTGGATGCTTGCATGAAATGAGGTTTCCGCAGAATCGATGAAACACGACGTTTCACGCCGCGTTACTTTTGCGCCGCTTACCCTAGTCGTCTATTTGGTGCGCTTTGATCGCCTTGCCCTGTTTTCGCCTGTGTTTTGCTACATATCGTAAGGCTTCTGATGACCGTGCAAACCGTTGTGTATAGGATTGCTTCTGGCTTCCGAGCTCTGTGAAGTTGTGCGTGCATTTGACGGCCACACTTCAGATAGGTGCCTTTTGTGACATCGTTTGCTCATTTCAGGCCGCATTTCCACCCGGCCGAGAGGCCGTCGCCGTGTCCTTCGCCTGAGCTGGACGTGGAAGACTACATCCAGAACCTGCCGTCCGGCTATCGGATCGAGGGCACGGCGGCGGAAGGCGCGGCGTCGCCCGGCCGGCCGCTGACCGTGCACATGGTGCCCAGCTCGAGCGTGCGCCTGGTGCCGACGCCCGAGGCGCCGGCCACCGCGCACGCGCCGCCCGCCGAGCCACCTCCGCCCGCCGCCTGCTCGGCGTTTGCGCTGGCGCCGTCGGACACGTTCAGTGAACTAGTGACGAACCTCATCAGCCCGTACCTGGTGGACAGTGACGGCGTGCTATTGACTAGTGCCGAGAGCGGACCGGACGTGGGCGCTGACAGTGACGGGGACGCGCCGCACGAGCCGGGCGCCAGCTCGGCGGCTGCGGCGGCGGCGCGACCGGCCGACGGCACGCCCCCGGAACGTAAGTCGCCGGCCGACGGAGGATCCAAGCTGGGCTGGGATAAGCGGGCCGTGCTGCAGCTGCTGACGCACCTGATAAAGCGCAGCCGCTCCATGCTATACAGCTAGCGTAGCGCGCCGTGTCGCCTGTGCCTTCGCTGCGGCCGTGTTGAGGCGCTGTGCTAACGGGCCGTCTCCGCACACCAGGCGCGAGCCGGCCCGGTCGGAGCGGCGGCGGCGGCGGCGCCGGTGCCGGCGCCTGGCCGGCACCGGTGACGTCGGCGCCGTCCGGCCTGGTGGCGCTGCTCGGCGGCGGCGTGACGACCACGGCCGCGGGCAGCCACGTGCTGCTGGCCGACACGCCGCCTACGCTCGAGCTGATGGCCGACAAGGCCGACAACAGCCTCACCGGCAGGTGGGTCAGAGCCGCGCCCGCCCTCCGACCCGTCCCGTCGCCTCCCCTCGCCTCCCTACGGGCCGGCGCGGCGGCGGTCACTGCCGGTCTGCCGCCTGGTTGTAACCAGGCTCGGCCGCACGTTCGGACCGGAGACGCGCCAATGCGGCCCTGAGCGACCCGCGGCACCGCCAGCTCAGGAATATTGTTCTGCCGTCTGCTCAAGAAGCGTGTTCTGCGCAGGACCGCGTTGCGGCGACGCCTACCCGACTCTGATGGGGACTGATGTTATTCGATTTGAGCCTCAGTTTGTGCTCATCCTATACCGCTGATGCCAAATGTTCTTGGGTCAGGTTGTCTTGTGCGCGTTACTGTATTCTGTGATATTATTGATGCCTGGTGATATGCCCTCGGGGGTCATGGCTTTAATAGGTTAGACCGTTTCACGATTCTCGGGGTTTTATGCAGTGATACATATATCTGGGAATGGCCGGGTTTATGCGGTATCACTATCGTGGGCACCTTACTTAAACTCGTCGCGAAGAAAGCGAATCTCCTGGTTGTTTTACCAGCAGCATAACGAAAGTAAATAATGCCGACTCATGGGAGCACAATTCCTGGCTGAACACGTTGGACCACTGACTGCATTTTGGCTGATTCAGTGATGTAACAATTACATTTTATATGATGGAGACTGGCCCGGCATTGCTGGCATTGCCGGCATTGAAGGGTGTATTGGTATACCCCACTTTGTAGTGCAGGAAAGATATTGTTTGTATCAAAAAAGTTCATTGCAGCTTTTTTGCACGTCTGGGTCCAGACGCCCTTGAAGTATTCGTGCTGATGGATCGGTACTGGCTCTTCGTCCGCTTTCGCCCCAAAGCTTAAACAGTTACCATCACATGTGGACGGGTGGTGGGGTCCGGCCTCCCGCCGGCGTGACTGTGCCGTAAATCTGGTAATGGTGTTCCGGAGTACTGACTGACGCCGCAGTAGCGCTGGCAGCTCTATTGATTGGAACACCACGTCCGAGAAACGGACGCTGGCGCTCGGCTGGGAGATTCTGGCCGCGCGGCTGAGCACGGCGACAGCGCTGGCGGCTGTGGGGCGTGTCTGACGGTGGCCTGTTGTCCGCCTCTCGGCAGTGACGCGCCGCCGCGGGACGCGCCGCCGCCCTCCTCCACCAGCCACTTAGTGAAGAAGCTGGTGCGCAAAGGCTCCGGTCCCATGGAGGTGACGTGAGGTAGTCTCGCCGCGCCCGGCCGGGCGCAGAGTAGTGGTGCCGTCTGGTGGCGGTACTCCGCACTTGAGTCTCGCGGTGCTGCTACCATCGTCAGCCAGCCAGCCAGCCAGCCAGCCAGCCATGAGTGTTACTAGTATTTTCTATTTAACCCGTGAAAACACAAGTTTAGTACAAAGTCAAGTAGTTCATTGTTTCATCTTTGGGCATTTACAGTCATTTCCATTGTCATATCTTTGTTTTCTTTGTACCCTGAAAGTAGGTACCTATATTATCAGTTCAGAATTGGCCTCGCTCACGTCATTTGATTTCAACATTCAGTATCGTCGTCTTTTCTTTAATTCCGAAGAAAACTGTCTACCTGCTTTCCGCTGTTCTACCACGTAGTGTAGTGGCGCGCAGAAAATAACCTGTTTATAAAGAAACGAAACATGCGTAGTGATAACATGCTGTAAAAATATAAAAAGCTGACAAACGCTCAAAAACAGCACTTCTGTAAAGACCGTTCTGTTTCCATGGTGATTGTGGCGCAGCGCATGTAAGCCTAATGTTCGACATGTTAGTAATTGTGGAGACATCTGGCGGGGACGGGCCTGGGAGGGTGTTCCCGTGGCCGGGGATGGTCGCCAGCTGCCCGCTATACCGCACTGTTTTGCGATGCGCCTCGCGCGCTTGGAGTCTTTCATGGGACTGGTGTAGCGGAACGCTGCGTCTGTGTGCCGCTGGAGTGGTGCGCTGCCGGGGCGTCAGTGTCGAGTGTGTGTGGATGTGCACCAGGGGGCGCGCGGCTGGGCGCGGCGGACTCTGCCGGGGTCGGGGGACCGGCGGCCGGACGGACGCTGCGAGGGTGCGGGCCGGCCGGCTCTATACGCTTTCATTGTGATGTACGGTCATTTTAATGTTGTACCTCTGTATATAGGTCATACATCGTATTGCTCCTGCAGTAAGCAAGAAATAAATCATCTCCAATCTGCGATCGGATGTGTTGGCTTTGGGTGGCTCGTTAGCAGGGAGCTCGGGGCGGGCGATGCGTTACGTTCAGCTGACTGGACAGTGCATCCCGTACGATCGGGCACCGCATGTTTGCGGCACTGCAGTATCACCATTGCTTCGCCACGATTTGATTCTATTGGGGAACATGGAATTTTCCACCTGCGACAAAGATAGATGTGGGTCAGAAACGGCCCAGATGCCGCCCAGGCGGTACGACAGACTAACGGATGCGGACGGAAGAACAAGCATGCGAGCGTTTTGGTAAAGGGTTGGTCGGTCTTCGTGTGTGTGCGTGCGTGTATATGCGCGTGTGTGCATGCGTGTATGTGCGTGTTGCGTGCATGTGTGCGTGTATGTGCGTGTTGCGTGCATGTGTGCGTGTATGTGCGTGTTGCGTGCATGTGTGCGTGTATGTGCGTGTTGCGTGCATGTGTGCGTTTGTGCGCGTGTGCGTGCGCACCCGAAACCAATGGATCTGCCTGCTCTGGGACGTATTTAGGGATTGGTGTGTGATGTCGAACCAAAAGAAATGAAGACGTGAAACCAATTGCACGTAAGCGGGCTTACGACTACAGCTCGGTGACAGATCTGTGATCTATTCCACTGGCGGGCGAGCCAACAATCTACGGAAAGGCGACCATTGTCATCTCGTGGACAGGTTTCGGACAGTACCCAAACATTGAAGGGAGCATCCCACCTTGTTTGCAGCTTTCTGTTAATACATCAGACGCGCACGACTTGATTAGTGAAACCAGTTTTCTTGAAATCCTGAAGGGTTCGGAATCTATATTTGAAGTAGCTGACCGTGCGGGAAGAATCTCGTTTGACTCCCTGCTCACCACTATCCGAGTAATACGTTCTGTTTGCTTTTTCTAACATTGTGTTTTGTAATGTTTGCAGCAAACTAATCTATCAAGATGTATGTGAGATATGTGCTATAAAAGCTTGAAGCACTTAAACAAAAACATGCGTGAAAGCATGAACATGAAGCCATTGCCCGCGAATCCAATGAAACTTCACGTTGTATTGATTCCTATGGCGTTTTCCGCAGTGGTTCTTCAAGGCGCGCTTTGGTTTGGTGAATCGAAGTATCACATGATCTATGCGACGCGCTGATTCAAACTTGAACACCTCAGAAACTTGTTCTCGCCGTACAAACTGTTTTCCCACCAGTAGACGGTGATTGCCATGACGACGGTGGTCGCGACTGCAGAGGCGTAGTGCTGTTACGAAGCGTTGAATGCGCAATTTGGACCAAAATAATAAGAATTGAAGTCTTTGTATGTTTTGACGGTGCTGCATTGGCACTACCCAGTAAGAGGTAGCATAAGAGGTAACTAGCGCAATTTGGACTAAAATAATAAAAACTAATGCGTTAGTTATGCTTCGACGGTGCTGCAGTGGCACTACCAAGTGCTGATTACAAAAGGTAACTAGTCCTGAACTTTCATTACAGTATGCTTTTGAAATATGCCCCGAAAGGTGGGCACACCCTTAAGCAGCGTGTAATCTGTGGTTGTATCCAAAAGCTACCAAAAGTCGTACCGTATTTCGTACTATTTTGCGCACATGCACTGACAAGCTTAAATCACGCTGTTTGTGTCTTCCCTTGGGTCGATGCGCCCGAATACCCCAAACCATGATCAGTTATCCAGGTTGGCAGTTGGAGTTGGGGGACGAATTCAGAAAGGAAGATATTCCGATTGTACGTTCCCAAATGCCACGGGGGTCCATTCGCTGACTTTTTTGCAGCATCCACACCGTGATGCCGTTTCCGTCTGTTATCGCCTTGTTCATGCGTCGCATCAAAATACGTCTTGATCGTAAGTGGCTCCAGGAAAAGCGACGGGCGATTTCAGCCAAAGGTACCCGAGCATGACCTTGATATGACTACGTATATTACGAAATGTCTGGTTGAGGCCGCGATTCATGTTGCGCGGCAGTTTTCACGGCTCAGGGCATTGACAAGCGGAGTACGTTCATTTGTTCACTGCTGGCCCCCATTGGCACCCACTTCTGCTCAGTTCTGGTCGGATAAATAAGGCGCAAGTCCAGCTGCGGTTTCGTGGAGGTCAAATGGAATAGAGAAGGATATTGAGGAGACAGCGGGTGCATGCCACGTGCGCCGTACGGCTGCGAATGACAATCGCATGGGCGCGATCCAGCCTGTGGGATCGATCACAATGACACCGATTGGGTCATCTGCCTCTAGGCACCACTGCACTGCAGCGGTCACGTGGCTCACTTCATGCTCCGGATCACCTATTACGTCTCACGATTGCACCCGTATTCGATACTCTCACGCGCACGTCCGCCCACATGATACACCCGGCCGCGGCCGTGTGCGAGGCCAGTGACCGGAGCACCGTGCCAGGGGGCGCGGACCGGCAGCAGCGGCGGGGGCGGATCGAGCGCCGTGCCATCAGCGGGCAGCCGGCTCTGTGCGGAGCGTGCACACTGAGCACTGCACAGGGGTGCGGGCGCTGGCGCCGCCCCAGGTCCGGGTGGCCGTCGGCGGACGGAGGTCAACGGCCCGGCCGGGAGGCCGCGAGACGCCGGGCCGCGGCCTTGTGCCAGCCCAGGAGGCTGGCCGCCGCCGCCACCGCCGCTGCTGCTGGGCGCTGGTCTGCCGCGTTCCTCCAACGTCAGCTGTCTCTCGGCCGGGCCATGGCTACACGAACCATCAACAGATGTTTCAAATACAATAATGCGTCCATTGCTCTTTTTGCGGCTACCGAGTAAATACTAGGAATCAGTCATTAGGAGTAAGTGTATTTATTGATCCACTGTCCCCCGCCATTCCTTGGTTGTTGAACTCACTGCGCTGCACTTTGTGTCCCCGTAAACCGTTGACCTAATGTTCCGAGGAGGTAGGCTTTCACCGCTGTCTCGTTGAAGACAGATGGAATGCAGATCAGGGTTAGGTACCACTTCAGAGTAAAAATTCAAGGTTCGGAATGGAAATATTGATTAGCAAGTGGGATGTTCTTACGTCAAGAACTGTGTGGTGAAAGGTATATAGTGGAGAAGGTTAACGGATAATTTTTATACATTTTTATACAAGAAATGTTCATCGACCTTCCGCGCCGGCAGTTGATCTTGCGCAGTTGTCCATCTGGGACTGAATCGGAGTTCGGCATCACTTCAAAATTTCAACATAGGTTGGATCGACCATAATGTTACTAACTTCAGGCCTGTGTTCTTGTGTGGGCTGGTGGGGTTTACATCTTGACGCCACACGATTCTAGAGAACCGCTTAATTTTCTGCGTCTGACACTAGCACACCAATCGCTGCGATATCTAACGTCACCTTGAACAAACTGACCGCTGGCGTCCGCGCGTGTGGCTCGAAACAAAAGATGGTGGATTCCAAAGGCGCCGCTGTACTAGAGACCTCGTTTCCATTGATTCATCAATACGTGAGACATTTAAACGAAAACAGCACGGTAGCTGCAGCATTCTTCGACGTCGAGAAATCTTGAGACGTGACGCGGCGACATGGCATCATGCGGCGGCGGCATGGCAGTGACGCGGCGGCATGGCATCATGCGGCGGCGGCATGGCAGTGACGCGGCGGCATGGCAGTGACGCGACGGCATGGCATCATGCGGCGGCGGCATGGCAGTGACGCGGCGGCATGGCAGTGAACACAAGGATAGATTGCAGTCAACTTCCACAAAGACTACGTCTTTAGAGCCAGAGTGAGCGATCCACCATCCGACTGTCGTAATCAGGTAAATGGAGGCTCCCAGAAATGTGATCTGACCGTAACAATGTTTACAGTTTCGATTAACAACACTGTCGTAATTGGGACCCTCTGGTGCTTGAACTGCGCGGTCATCTAGCAATCAATGGCATTGTTGAACAGTCAATGTTGAACTGTTGAAAAAATGCTAGCTGTCCCTTGTTTATCAACTATTTTGCTGTTTACGCACCGACATCCGCCATTGCTTCAGCAAAACGCGAACTCTTGGCAGGCTCGACAAAATGTATCACTGGAGTGCTGGGTGCACCATTTTCCATCTCAAAAACGTCTTGCATAAGTTTTCAGCCGGAATCGTGAAGGTCAGGACCACACCCTGGGGCTGCACGCCAGTGGGATTAAAGATTCTGACAGCCATAATTCTCTAGGAGTTGCCATCGATCATCATCTCTCACGCTGTACAGGCCCTCAAAAGCGATGTGCGACGAGCTGCGATGAACGTGAGCAAAATTATGTCCCGCATTTCACACTGGTTACCGCAAAACCATGTTGCTCATGTGTCGTGGCCTCACCAAGTCTAAGCTGCATTAAGTCGGGGTGATGCACGATTCAGCTAAAGCATGTGTCACGAAGATGTTGGATGCTGTGCACCACGAGAGCTTTGGATAGAAGTGGGAGCGTTTCGTACTTCTCCCGTTAGTTTTCCCAGACGTGCTCACGTTAGTGACTTTGACGAAAGTGCACAAAACATCTCTGGCTCTTCGCCGTGAAATGTTAGTACAAGTGTTGGCGAAATGTCGGCTTCAACGAAACCGCATGGATTTCCTCTGCGGCTCACGATCAGAACGTTTTCTGTTGTGTGTTTCCGAGTCGACGAGCGGTTCCGCCTAACTGCTTTGCTCCCAGGTATGGTCCAGAGACGAAAACGCTTCGCACTGAGCCATGGTTGGTGGCGACCACCCGAACTGAAGCATCCGTGGCATTGGTGGCAAAGGTGCGTCGGACCCTGCTGGCTGGAGTCTACCAACGAGCCCGGCAGCTCATCAGAATCGTACGGATTCACGTGCATGCATACATCCGACGGATCCATGTACTCCGCGGTCACAGGACGTGCGTTCGTGGGCAGCACACACTCTTGCCGCTTCAGGCTGCCATAGCAGAAGTGTTGCATTGGCCGTGGAACTGGCTGTCGTGCAAAACAAAACACCAGCTGCGTCGCCCAGATGAAAACAGTGCAAATTGTCATATTTTACCATTTCTGAGTGCCATAACAGCTGTGA